TCTTGCCTGGAACTGCCAGTAGGAGGTGGGATCCTCGGAATACACAGCAGAGCGCCAGGCCTGCCCTTTATGGCCTACGAGACGCGCTGACCTTCGGCCACTCCCCCAAGGTCACTGGGATCTGCTTGACTCCCAGGATCCAGCTGCCACCCATGGGTCTTACCAGCATCTCCCTCCAGGATGCCAGCTAATGGTTTATGCCAACTTGAGTGTCTCAGCTCAAACAACGACAAAACGAACCATATTGTTTAATAGCTCACTCCTGGGCTCCCATCCTCCTTCCATAGTCAGTTATTAAATATCTAGCACAGATGCTTATAAAAACTAGATTTTTTTCTTCCATCGTAAATAAGGTAACTGCCACAGGACCAGCCCCATTGCCCATGAGACCAGCCTCGTCATTGTTAAGCGCTGTGCATTGGGAACCGGATCCCACAGGGCTGACTGCGGTACAGATCCTGGCCCTGGTGGCAGGTGGTGTGGTGGTTAAGGGCACTGGACTCCCACATGGCCAACCACAGTTCGAGTCCCAGACCTGGCGGCTTGCTTTCTCACTTTCTCTTTCTCTCCCTCACTCGCTCTTGCTCTCTCCTTCTTTGGTCAAATTAAAATGTAATAAATGAATAAATAGAGTAAAAAAATAATTCTTAAAAAAACAATAGAAAAAAAAGCACGCTGGGTACACACGTGTGACATGCATAAAATCCCAACAAGACGGAGAAATGGAGGAAGGAGGACTGCAACGTGACCACGAGTCATTTCCCTCTCTTACAAGTACCTACACCCTCTGGCAGTAAAAAAAAAAAATTTAAATAAACAAGTAATTATATGATCACCTTCTTTTTTCTTTTGAAACTGAAAAACCCACACCTTCGAGCAGACCAGCCCTTCCTCTGTGCTGTGTGACCCTGGGGAAGTGGCGTTCCCTCTCTGAACTTAGCTCCCACATCTTTCTATGGAGAGGCTGGGCGAGGACTGGATGCTGCTCGTGAGGCCGGCACGGGGCCTTGGGCGCAGCAGGGCTTCAGTCAAGGGTGGCTGTTACCCGTATATGACTTCTTGTGTGTGAAGATGAACCTTCAGCAGGTGTATTACGACATCCCGTGGACAAGGTTGGACGGATTCACACGCAATCTGGTGGTGAGTTTAGGATGCGCTGACTTCAAGGTAGGCCACGTGACACAGAAGATGGGGAGATTCCGGGGTGTCTCACACTGAGAGCTAGAACCTCCCCAAAGGTGCCGTGCACCCCGATAGGAAGATGTTGGGAGGGCTTTGCCCTCTGACGCCCCTGCCTGGTGCGGTCAGACTTCCCACAAAGCCAGTGAGGTGCCTCTGCCCCCCGGGAAGTCACCAGAGGCCATGGCTGAGAAGGCGGCACCGGGGGCCTCTCCGGGCACCCTATTGGAGTGAAATGGCCTGGAGGGAATTGGGTGGACAGGGCGCTGGCTCAGCAGGCCCGGATGTGCTGGGCTGTCAGAAAGCCCCCATAAATAGGCCACCCCGTGCAAAGGCAGGCCAGTCTACAGGCGGCCGAGGCTCCTCTGCTCTTCCCGAAGCTTCAGCAACAGGTCCATGGTGGGGTGGGCGGGGGGTTGGGAGGCCAGAGCGGTCCTGGCAGGCCCAGCCTGTTGGCAGGCTCTGTGGGGG